GAGTAGATAAGAAGAAATGGATAACCGAACTGAATCCAAAACATGTTGAGGTAACTGATCGTGAGGGTCGCCAATTCGCAGGCTTTAACTTCTGCATGTTACAGAAAATATGCAAAAGTTACAGGATATTACGACTGATATGTCGTTTAACCGTAAAGCATAGCCTGTTTGCTTGCAATGCTCTGGTTATCGTTCAGATAAATCATGCCAGGAAGCAGCCAAATGCATCAATAATTTGCATTTAGATCAAGCGCAAGGAACTGCTCTAGACTTGAACGTAAACTCACCTTGCAGTCAATTCACGGCACTGCCATACGTGCAGGGTGGTTATAATTAAAGCGGCCCTATTCCGACCACTCTAGAACCCGTTACCCTTACTAAATTTTGATGAAATTTGGTATATATGTTATATAGACCATGGGGAAACGATTTCTTCAATTAAAAAATAGTTCAAATTTTGACAACCAAGGGGAATTTTGGCGCATAAAGAAGGACTAAAAATCTGTCAGAATCATTAAAATTTATTCATCTACAGAATGTGCTCAATGTGTGCTTCATGGACATCAATTACGTGTTGAAAGTTCATTATAGCGTGTTTAATGGTAGCGCGAAGTAACTGTCGAGGAATTTCAGGAAGATGGCGTTTTCAATTCTGGCTTTCCACTCAAGTAAAGTCCTAATTCCTCCTCCATAAACACTTTCGTTTAGGAATCCCCACAACCATAAATCACAGAGATTTAAGTCGGGTGAACGAGGGGGTAAGGCATCCGGAAAAGCTCTGGATATCACACGATTCTCGCCAAAGTTAGCACGAAGCAGTTCTTTGACTTGACCCCCAGTGTAGGGAGTTGCTCCATCTTGCAAGAAGACAGTGGTCTGATAAAAGAGTTTTACCAGTAAGGCTCGATCTTTCTTCTGTAAGGTCATTATTAACGATGACAAAGGCACGCGGAATGATTTTCTGACTCTGGCTGCAAATCTCTTTAAAGGTTTGACTGATTTGCATAAAGAATGTTTAAAATCTGCCATCTAGTGGTCACGCTTTGAACTATTTTTATTCCAGAAATCGTTTCTCCGTAGTCCATATAACGTATATACAAAGTTTCATCAAAATCAGATAGGCAGAACGGGTTCTACAGGGGTCTGAATAGAGTCACTTTAATTATAACCACCCTGTACAATACGCGCTGTATTTCAGTTTGCTACAGAAAGTCTAAGCTCTGTAGATTAACAACTAGAGCAATGCTTAAGTCTCAAATACTCAGATTCACTTAAATTCCAACTGTACAATCTACGAAAATCTAAGCCTGCAACTATTCACATCGCCCATCTCATTCAAGGAAACTCCAAAACTGCGTACTTCCACTATAACAAACTAGATGCCACTACTAAAGAACTCGAGTCCCTATTTTTGAAAAAAAAATTCCAAATCTTGGTGGAGATATCAACGGCTCATGTTATGTTTTGGAATTCACTTCAGAGGACAGCAGAGCAAAATCTAATATTAAACATTCTGTATCTAATGTCTGTGGACCATTGATCAATTTCGTTGCTCTGTTGACTATTTTAGCCTCTTAAATATCAATGTACAAATTATATCCATCGTTCGAAGCATTGAAATTTCAAAATATCTCAGGAAATGTATAAAAAAAAAATACTTATATAAATTTGAAAATTTCTTAGTAAGATGCAATCAATGTGCACCATCAGGATGACGTAATCCGTTTGGTCTATACAAAGATGTCATATTGGATGTCATCTCGATGTCGAGTAGACTAAAGTATTTTTGTTCATGAACTGTACTATCTCATAACATGATGACTAGCCCTTTTTAAGTATCTTAAAGATAGGTTTATTTCTTCCAGAATCTTAAAAATATTTTTTACTCAAACCAAGACAATTTTGAAACAACATTCACTACAGAAAAAAGAAAAAAAAGAAAATCTAAAATGTTTCAGATTTTAAATTACGTTCAAAGGGGGCGTTTTTTTAACATTTTGTGTGTTATATTTATTTATTAAATATCACGTTCGTCGCACTTAAACCATAAAATTCACTTCAACAGCAATATCGCAAAATAGTTTTAAAATGAGTATATCTTTAGAATTTCCGTTACAGAGACTCACGCGATAAAGATAATTTTTTTTTCTGTACAACGTTGCCATTTGCTTGATTTGAAATCCTTGAGTTTGTTAATCCAAAATTCGTCAAAGTTTTAAAAAATAGGAAATCGATCATATAAAACAAATTTCAAATTTGGTCTTCCACATGCCCATATTCGTAGAAGGATTACGCGATTCAAAATTCGATGACTCTTTGTACCGTTGTTTTATCACAATGCGAGAAATATACATACATTTATGCATATTTTTCATTATTTAATTTCTTCAAATATTAATGCAGGCCTCTAACATTGGTGTGGCAACAGTTTGAAAAGTCAAACGGACATTTACAGAGGCTGTTCGCACATTTTTTAGACGATTTCGGTAAGCGGTAATAAAATTTCGTTTGCTGCAAAAAACGTAATTGTAATTGACTGTGTTTTTAAAAGTCAAAATTATCGTCTGTGGCTTGAAATTTTTGTTTTTATTCAAAATGGCAAATTCAGCAAAGCAGTGGTTCGAAGGCTACAATTACGCTCTTTCCGAAGAGAAATATGCATACTCCGTTATCCAAAAACGATGTGAAAGTCATTGTTTTGTGATATCTAAAGCGTCGATAGGTAATATCATGAACAAGAAAGGAAAAAAGGTCAAGTTGGAGCCTCAAGTGGGACAAAAATTCCAAACAAGTGTCCAAGGAAAAAACGGACATCTTCGACTATTGCAAAGGTACGTTGTTTAATGTTAAAAAAATCCCCCTAGTCAAAGGACAGTTGCCAAATCATTAAAATGCTCAGTGTCCACTGTAAAATGATAAATGTTGATTTAAATCTTAAGAAAGCGAAAAAACGCAATGTGCATCGTCTTCTTCCAAAGCAAATCGCTCAACGCAGGACACGCTGCAGAATTCTATATGAGAAACACTTATCCAAAGAAAAATGGAAAACAATTGTCACAATAGATGAAGCATGGGTGCATTTAAATGATTGTAACCAAAAAGAGCCCTTTATTATCATAAAGAGGGGGAAATTAAGTGCATATGGTTTAAAGAATCGAAAGAAAGTTTTTCTAAGGGATTCATGATTGTTGCTGGTTTTTCTTATAATGGCAGGTTAAAAATAAAGAGAGTGCAAACAAATGTCAAGATTAACTCCAAATACTATCAGGAACATATTTTACCGATAATTTTTCTGAATGAAATACCATCGCTTTACTCACAGTGCCATCAATCTGTGAGACTCCATTAGGACAAAGCTAGCAGCCCCACATCAAAATTCACTGTAAATTTCCTAAAAGAAATGGAACAAAAAAACTGGTATCAAGGTTCCTGAAATCCCTACTAAATCTCCCGATGTGTCACCTATGGATTTTTGTGCTTTCGGACTTTTAAAAACTGCATTATCCAAACGTTGTCCCAAAACCCTAACAGGACTCTGGAAAGCTGTTCGGGAGGAATGGGATAGAATACCTCTTCTGCCACTTCAAAAGGCATTATTATCCTGGAAATTGCGGTATCGAAAGATAGTTCAGAATAAGGGATGTCAAATAGAACATTTAAAACACAAGAATTTTATGTAATTTAGTTTTGTGAATACAATATACTTCGTCTAAAAAATGTGTGAACAGCCCCTGCATAGTGAACCAACGCAAAATCGCAAAACGAAAACAACAGTCCTTCAGGTACAAAACCCCTTTGGACTAATAAAACGCTAGGATTTGCTATGAATGAATGGGTTTAATAAGTCAATTCTTAAAACAAAAGACAATGAGCCAATTTTTAATAATTCTTCTGATCGTACCTTGTTATTAAGTTGTTAGTATTTATCCCTGGTGTGAGCTTTCTTTGAAAATTCTTTGTTATCTTTAGTGGTATCAAAAAATTCACTACAATTTAGTTCACAATTAATTTAGAAGCTTAGTAAAGCTTTTACGCGGATTCAGCTATTCTTTTTTTTTTCAGATGTTATTATATTCATTAGTGAGAATTCTCTTTCGCCTGGTGCCATGCTGAAAGTGTTTTATGAAATTTGAATCAGATAGGGCAATGTTATGTCTTTTTTTGCTTTGAAATGACTGAAACGTATCCATCTTTTATCACAGTATTTATTTTCTCGCATTTTCGCCGTCCAGATTTTCCAACTAGCTGGCCATAAAGCTTTTACAGTCATTGACTTCATCAAAAAGAGGATTCATGCTTATTGCATTATTTGAGAGAACTTCATTTCATTTATACTTTCACCCAAAGCTTCTGTTGCAGACCATGTTCATTCACTGCTGTATATCCAAATAAAAGGTTCTGCTCCATCAAAACAATTTTCCCATGCTTCAGTTCCAGAAAGAATTCATCCTAAAATGTTGTGAGCACTCATAGGCTTGTATTAATGTCATTTGTGTGTATGTCGAACTTTTAAAATTAAAATACGTAAGTGGGAAAATATGAATAACTGGCTGGGACGCAAGTACCACATCATCAGACGAGGCCAGTTCCGGTCAAAAGAGGATGTCTGGTAAGCCTAATGATATTCCAAGTTTTCTGTCAATTCAGCTAATATCTTAATTTTCATAAGGAAATAATAAATAACAATGTTAACAATGCTCCGTTATGTAACAATGTTCTGCTAACAGTGTTCTGTTAATAGCATTTTGTTCTTTGTGTTTAAATGAATAAATATTTATTTAAATATTGACTTAGTCAATATCTCTATATTTAGCTTCTCAGCTAATATCTTAATTTTCTGCCATAAGCAAAGCTAATATTTAAATAACAATGTTCCGTTATGTAACAATGTTCCGTTAACAGTGTTCTTTTAATAATATTATGTTTTTGTGTTTAAATGAATGAATAAATATTTATTTAAATATTGACTAAATATTTATTTAAATATCTTTTGAATTTAGGTGAACTGTTGTTGGAATGGGAAGGTCGTCAAGCTCGTATCGTCCGCCCAGATGTTCAAACTGTCAATGGCGTCATACATGTGATCGATCGTGTAATGATGATGAGGCGTGATCTTACCAAATCGGGTGCTCCCATTGGTCCACTTAGCAATGGCTTCTTATCCATCATTCCAGCTTTTTTTACGGTCGCCATCTTTTTCTGAAGACTCATCGTAGAAAGTATAAAGTAACACATAAAAGGCAACAAAAAATGCTGTGTTTAAGAGGAAAAAAGAAAGATTTTTGCTAAAAACTTTGTGAAATGTGCATTTTAGAAGAAGAGGAGATTTCTGTGCAATCTTGTGTTCTTTTATTGTGCACGAACGTGAACGTCTTCATACCGATGCCACAAAATGTATTACAAATTCACGAATTGAAGTGCAACAGTGTAAAAAAATGTTGTATGTTTTGGGAGAGGGTATAAATGATTCAGAAATTTGCTTATAATTCATAGAAAGCCAGTAAAGTGACACCATAGAAAAATTTTTGAGCCATTTTGGATAGAATTAATCAAAACGCGTTAAATGGAGAAGAGTAAAATTTATTACAACGTCCAAACTCATTTTTTAATTACAGTACTGAACACGAAATTTGCTGTTCGATGTACTGCTTTTGTTAGTGTTATCTATAAGATGAGAAAGTTACCATTCTCAAATACTTGGAATTTTGTAGGAATATTCCATGAATCTGCTACTACGATTCTTCCGTACTTTAAAAAAAATTTTTATTATTATTATTGTATATTAATCTAACAGAAAAATTGTTTGTTTAAGAAATGTATTTATTCATGACGAAGCGATACGCAGATTGAAGTGTGTCGAAAACTATTTAAAGTATATTTATTTTATTAATGACAAATTCTATGTTTTGTAGAATACAATCATTAGAGTCATAGTTTGCTTATTAAAAATGGCATCACAGCTGCTTCAAAAATTATCATTAGCTGTAGATTGAAAATGATTTAAAAACAAAGGGATTGTATATATTATAGTATGCCCATATTATACTTATAAATTATAATTCAGACATTAATTGAGTTAAAAGTACACGAGAATATAACTTCTTCAGTTCTACTTTTAAAAGCTTTGCTAGCAAAACTAATTAAAATTAATGAATTAGATCTGTTCTGCGAGACCATGTTGTTTAATGTAGTTTCTTACTTGCATATTGTAGTAAATTGTTCCCCCCAAAAAGACTGTTATTCTTGTGATACTAAATCATTATTATTTGCAATAATATTATTATTACTTGTGTAGCGAGATATTTTTTGTATATATGTAATGAAGAAACACACCCTTGTTGAAATCCTTCATAGCACACTCTGCTGTTTTGTCAGTTTGCAGTAATATATGCTTGAATGTTAATGTTTGACCAATGTATGGAAATGTTGTAAATCTTACTGTAAATGGATATAAATGAAAGGACCACTTTGGGTCACGAAATACTACAGCAAGGAAAAATTTGACTTGCTTTAGTTTTTCCTATTTTTGTGCACAGTTGGAACTAGGATGGCATTATATGGGTGCTACGATTTCGTAGTATCTCGTATTGTTATGGTTACTATTTAATTACAAAAATTGTTCGCGATTATTATCGCAGCAGCATACAGTGAACCATTTGCTATAGGTACTAGATGTTAATAAAACTTTGTTTCTTATGGTCTTCGTTCCCCCCTCCCTTACTGTGAATTAATCAGATTGTAAATCCAGTATTTTACAGTATGAATTATTTGTAAAACGACTTTTCTTTAATTTTCTGAAATCGTATTACAGTTACAAATTTCATGATTGATATGGACTTTTCGAGAGATTCTGATTTAAATTGCATGTTTGTAAACCATTCACGATTCACTGTTATGTAATAAATAATCCTTTTTCTATCTAATTGCAGAACTTTCAAGGTTTTTAAACTGTGAAATTTATATAAATATGTATTTCTTTTTCTGAAGCATATATAAACTTTTTGGCTCATATTAGCATTTTAAAACAAAATAATATATATATATATATATATATAAATAGTGGTAGTTTTTAAATAGTATTTTTAAAGCTGAAATTCAGGTTTTTTTAAACAAAAATAAATAAATAAAATGTGAAATGAATATTTAAGAATCAAAAAAGGGCAAAAAGAGGCTACTAGAATATTCAAAATGAAAATTACGTAATTTTAACCATTTAACTTTAAGAATTTTAAGATAAAATATTTAGGACAAATATGCATACTATAATTTTTAAATTGTGGAAATTTACTCACTTGAATTTTGACCTTTTTTAAAAAAATTAACAAATATTAATAAAAAACATATTTAAAAAAAAAGTAAAAAACATGCTACAATTTAAAAAATTGTGAGCGTTTTTTGGTTTGAATTTTTTAATATTTTAAACTAAAACTTTTACAACAAAATTGCACACTTTGAATTTATCTGTTTTGATGCAAATCACAAAAGAGTTCTAAATGTTCTCTGAGTTGGTTCAGTAATAAATATCAGTGACACCTCCGAAAAATGCATTTGTATTTAACCAACACAGCGTTGATTAAAATGTTCAAAAGGGAAACGTATATTTGTGAGTCAATTTAAATATTTAAATTGTCAAGATTAAGTGTTTTTAATTAGCCTTTTTTATTAATTTATATGTAGCTTTTATAATAATTTATATTAAGCCTTTCTTTAACTTTATTTTTAATATCTTAATATTAATCTTTTAAATATCTTAAGCCTTTTTAATATCTTTGACAGCAATGAAAACCAATATTTAGTTATCGTCATGCCTACAAATTTAACATAAAATATTAAGTACGTTTCTTGTGTACCACTCACCGTTCCGCTACACTGAGTGCTGATCGATTTCAAAGTAGCATCGAAATTATTTCATTATACTGTAATAATTTCTTATCATGTTACTTCAGTATACTGTAGCGATTTTTTATTATGTTATTTCAGTATACTGTAGTAATTTTTATCATGTTATTTCAGTATACTGTAGTAATTTTTTATCATGTCCTGGTTGTATTAATATGAATTTTGTTGTGAAAGTTTTAAGCGAAAAAGTTTTCCTTCTTGTGCTCGAAATGCGATCGAATCAATCCAAAATTAGTTTTAATAAAAATTAACGCAAGCTTCGAAATTTTCAGTGACATAGAAATATATTTAAAAGCATTATGCTCTTATTTATAATGTGATTTTAGAGAATGTTGCATACCAGCAAACATTTGAAGAATATACAATGCTTCCTGAAAGTACATGTATTAACCGAAATAGCTCACTCTCTCCGTAACACTCGAGATAAATTGAAAATAACCAACAGAGGGCAACTTTAGTCATAGGTCCCTTGAAAAATGATAAAACATAAGGCTCATACATTGGCGTAATAAACGGGGTTCGAATGAAAAGTGACCGACAAAGGGAACTTCTCCCTAAGGGGTAGATGTCAAATTTTCGTTGCAGTGTATGTACCCTTGGTAGTTGTTAACCAAGGGTACAATGGTAACACTTTCAAACCCTTGGTAACACTAAATATTCTACGTAATATTCAGTGAAATTTTGAAAATACATAAATATTTGGTGTAGCGACAAAACGAATTTTCAGTAAGAAGTGAATGAGAACAAAATACCATTTCCTCCGTTTTGTAGCCTTTTGCCATTACAAAGTTCATTTCCAGCTCTAAATATTAAGTTCTACTTCACTTCCCAACAAAACGAATACAGGCTAAAAATTTTTAAACTGAAAATGCTTGAATAATGAAATAAACAAATCAGATCCTTTTTGTATACGTAAAGGGAGGTGTTACGCGTCAAATACCACTAAAACAAATTACACTAATTTTTTTGGATGAAAGATAGATAAATGTAAAAATTCGCGTAGAAAATTATTCTTGATAGTATTAAATTATAATAATTAAGTGGATTAATAAAATTTAAAAGCATAATGCTTTAGAATTTACACTGTAACTGAAGAACAAACAAGTAAACTTTGATTTGTTTCGAACAGATTTTATAACATTGTGAGGAATTCATTTTAAATGAGGGCTGGAAAAATTCTTCGCTCTTTGATGACTGAAAAGCTTTAGCTAAACTTATTCCGTTTCATTTCGTTTCCCCACTTCTGACTAAATTAAGCAAAGCATAAACATTATGCGAGTTCAGAGATTTCATTTACACAGGGTGAATCAAAAATATATAGCAAAAATGTAAAGGGGACTGAAAAAAGCCTAGTTTGTAATAGAATGTGTGTGTGTGTAGATATAGCATGTTAAGGTGTTACGTGGCGACCCGCAGGTAAAAATCTTCATTTCCCATGCGAAACGTAAGCCATATTTGTCGTTACACGAAGGAAAAATTCACCGACCTACATTATATTTGTGGGCTGCAGATAAATGGAGCAGTTATTCAAAGGAAATACAAAGAACCCTTTTCCTGTACTTTCTTTGAGTAGCTGCTCCGTTCCCATAGGTAACTGTGGATAAAATGCATATCGGTGAGCTCCGTTTTCGGATAGCAATGCATACCACTCAAAATTCATACGATTATTGAGAATGAGATTTTACATAGCTTCATCATTTACAATCTTCAGAATGCGCAGTAAACATCATTTTCGAGTATACATTCCATCACAAAATCTGCTTCTTTCGTTTCCCTCTACCATCTCTTTTATATTTGCGAATATTTTTGAGCATATGTGCACAGTAGTCATTTTTTTGTGCTGTAATTGCTGGTTGATATTTAAAAGAAAATACTTCGTTATTAAATGATTAATCAATCAGACCTTTATTCGATATGTTTCTCTATTTTTATGTCAATAAAGAAAATATATGAAATTTTTGTCTCGTGTAATTTGGTTGTATTGGGATTGTCATTTTTATAAAAAATCATGTGTGTTCGAAATGAATGAAACAGTAACAAATTTATAAAATATCGGTCTCGGACTACACTTTTCTTTTAGCCCAAAGAGCGTTAGCCCAGAAGGGCCAGTAATTTCGAAACGCCACTTTGTGACGATTCATTTTTCAAACTGTTGCCACCAAATATTATCGTCATCTATTACATTTAAAGAAACTAAATAATGAAAAATCTGCATGAATGTTTCTCGCGTTGTGAAGAAACAAAGATACCTAGAGCCATGCAGTTCTGAATAACGTAGTCCTTCAACCGAACATAGGCACTTGGAAGCCCGAATTTCGAATTTGTTTTATTATCTATCTAAAATTTTGTAAAACTTTAACGAATTTCTGATTAACAGAACTCTACGATTTAAAAGCGAGGAATGGCAGCACTGTGCGAAAAAAAAATGTTTATCTCCACGCGCGAGACTGTGTATCTGAAATTCTAAAGATACGCTCTTTTAATGTGTTAAAATATTTTGTGATATTGCTGTCGAATTGAATTTTATGGGTTTTAAGTGCGAAGAACATGATAATTAATACGTAACGGTAACACACAAAACGTGAAAAAAAGCCCTTTGGGGCGTAATATAAAATCTGAAAGCTTTCATTTTTTTGTTAACTTTAATTCTATCTCCTCGTGTTCCACAAAATATACCATGAAATAAGAATAAGTTGTATCACAAACAAACTAAATGAAAAGAAGTACAAATAGCACTTATAATATTTAATAAAAGAGAAAATAGAAATAAAATATAATACTGTAAATGCAATGGAGCTCCAAAAACCGGAATTTTCTCTTTAGTTCGTAAAAATTCCGAAAACATTTCGCCAAGATACAGCCAGGTACTTTAAAGTAGCCGAAAGTGCCTTAATTTGCTGGACATAATGAACGCATTCAAGAAGAATATGATTCGAGCTAATTTAAAATCTGTTGAAAATTGATCAACTTGTGACGCTAGGTATTGTAAATATAGAAAGCAACATTTCTATAATTATATTCTATGTTAAAAATATTCTTAACGCAATTTTTTTAAATTCAGATGTGATTGAATTAAACTATATTATCTTTGAAAAATATGATATTTTACGACGCCATAGTTATTATTATAACTCACTTTTTAAAACTACATGTTTCCGATTTAATATCTGTAGCACCTACATACTTTCAAAAGAGCTAAATCCGATGATGTAAATTTCCAACTGATTAGGAACTGAAAAAGCGGAGACCAACTTGTTTAATTTTTCGTTCTCCATTTCAATTCCATCTTACGAGTATCACTATATCCATATATCTCCATATAGTATTTCTTTCATTCTACTATGAAAGAGCTACACGCACTGGCCAATGAATAGAAATCTTTGAGATTTTCATTT